TGCATTTTGAGGGGTTTGAGTCACATGACCTATGAAAAATGCACCCTAAACGTGGTAAAACTGGGTACACTTGCTCTCTGCTTGTTATACTCACTGTGGAACCTAAGGGGTTAATCCTCTGCACTGTGTAAAAAGGCTGTTTGATCCTGTCTTCCCTGATCCTCCCCTTTTTCTACTGTCCCCAATAGTCTGATAGTACATACATATCTGAGTACTGTCTGAAAGTACAGAGCTCTATAAGTCACTCTGCACATGCTCAGTTTGGTGTGTATTGCTAGTTGTTTTTTTTTTTTTTCTTGGGAGAGTGCATGTGATCAGCACAGGGCCAATCATCAAAGTCCAGACAGAGGGTCAGGGGTTATGCAGCCTCACAGGGCAGTCAGAGAAGAATGCAAACTCCTCCTACAAGATTAACCAGTCCTCAGTTGAACACTTATAGAAGTCACAAGACTGCTATATACTGCTGATGAGAAAATGTATTTAGCAGTTTATATTTACTAAACTAATTGCATTTCCATGTTCTGTGTACTGTGGGAAAGCAGATATAGTGAATGCAGGGTCCTGGGTTAAGTAACACCTTAATTCTTCATGGCATAGATTCAACAAGGTGTTGGAAACATTCCTCAGATATTTTGGTGCAAAAATGACAGGAGCAGGGGCGGACTGACCATTTAGAAACTCGAGCACTGGCTGAGGGCCCGGGGTCAGTAGGGGGCCCCATGAGATGCCCCTGGTGGACCTTTTTCATAGGCTTTTTTGAGTTTGGGCAAGGACACAGGGGCCCCATGATCCCCTATTGCCCGGGGGTCCCATGAGTTGTCAGTCCGCCCCTGGACAGGAGTTACTGTTGCCTTTCTATCATCTTGAACCAGTCTGCCATTCTCCTCTGACCTCAACAAGGTATTTTTGTCCACACAACTGCCGCTCACTGGATATTTTTTCTTTTTCGGATCATTCTCTGTAAACCCTAGAGATGGATGTACGTGAAAATCCCAGTAGATCAGCAGTTGTTGAAATACTCAGACCAGCCTGTCTGGCACCAACAACTATGCCACATTCAATGTCACTTAAATCCTATTTCTTCCCCATTCTGTTGCTCGGTTTGAACTTCACCAAGTCGTCTTCACTACGTCTAGAGGCCTAAATGTATTGAGTAGCGGACCCTGTGATTGGCTGATTAGCCATTTGTGTTACCAAGCAATTGATCAGGTGTACCTAATAAAGTGACCGTTGAGTGAACATCCCTCACAGTACCTGTCTGAAATAGAACATCTATAAGTCAAGAATTATGAGGATGAATTATTTTGGTAAAAGTACAACCAATTGTTTTTTCTTTAATTTTGAATACAGTAGAAATGGTCAACAGATCAGTCAAGTTTCTCTTTTTTGCCCTATTGGGGAAAGATCCCTTCTCTTCATGTCCAGAAACACAACAGAGTAAAAAAAAAAATCTCTTAAAGAGAACTAAACCGATCGATATAAGACAGGGGTGAGCAACCTTTTCAGTTTCCTGGGCCACATTGGAAGCAGAGAAATTGTCTTGGGCAGGGGTGTATTTACCACAAGGCGAACAAGGCATTTGCCTAGGGCGGCATTTTTCAGGTGGGCAGAGCTGCCCCCTGAAAGAAGGGATGGAAGAAGGGACACACTCAGCATGGGGACCAGGTGGCATTTGAGAGAGGTTGCAGGCTGCTTGATGGTGTATGCAGAGCCTGACTCTTGTTCCCAGGGATGTCCGGAGCTGTGAAGGCGAGTGTCTTATCTCTTGCCGGGGTGGGGTAGGCTGCCAGTGTATGAAGGTCTGGGGTGTTGTTGGTCAATGTCAGGCTCACTTCGAGGGGGAGGGAGGTGTTGGTCGGTGTCAGGGTCTCTCCATGGGTGGGGGGGGAGCCAAGTTTTGTGTTGCCTAGGGCAGCACGAAACCCAAACACATCCCTGGTCTTGGGCCACACATAAAATACACTAACAATAATGAGAGCTGACAAGCAGAGTCGGGCACAGCAAAAGTTAATCACTGATATAGATAATAAGGGGTGTGGAATTTTTTTCAAACACATCTTGTCCAAGGGACTAAAGCGGGTTCCCAATCTACTATCTCCTGAAAATTGTTTAACCAAAACCATATTTAAATCGTAGGAGCTTTTAGGAATATCTGGGCTTTAGGGCAACTTAACTTTTTAATATTTTTTACATTGAGCTGTTTATGTCCTACTCTGTTCATGTCCTACTCACTTCCCTGCCTGCCTCCAGCACCGCACTCAGGAGACTAGCAGGGAGGGGAGAGACTTTGCAGTGTTACCAGCACCGATTGGGTGCTTGTCTGGAAAGGGGAGTGTCGGACCCTCTTAACACAGCAGAACCACATCTGCTGAGCGAGTAAATGAGGCATCGGCCCCAGTGAGAGAAAAGAAAAGCACTAAGATTGTAAGCTCCAAAGAGCAGAGCCCTCCTAATCCTCTTGTATTGAACTGTATTGTTATATTGTAAAGCGCTGAGCAAACTGTTGGCACTTTATAAATCCTGTATAATAATAATAATAACTAGAAAAGCTACAATTTCTGGGGAAATTGTGTGAAGTGTTCTTGCCTCCACCAGTAGTCTAAAACTGGAGTGGGCGGAGTAACTGGGTGTAGTGGCTTGTCACTCCGCTGCCTGCTCACACTCCTGGGTTCCTATGGCAACTCGCTCTACAGCAAGGGCAGAGAAGAGCGGTTAAAAACAAAACTGCTCCAACTTGCTCACTTCACAGGCAATTATAAATCCTATACCAAAGAGCTTTATATTGTGAGAATCACAAGACCCAGACCTACATTTGATGTATAGTATGTCTCTCTGAAATATTACAAATGAAGGCACAGTCGCAGTTTAGAAATTGCTCTTCAAATTTGAGGTGGCTAGAGTAGAGTTTCAATGAATGTCAATGGGCGGCGTGAGTTGCAAACAAATGGTCATATTGTGAAAACTATCAGGACTATGGCTTAGCCGTGGACATTTTTAGTGGCAGCAGGGATAGCTGAACGTTTTGATATACAATTTGTGTAGGTGGGCTTGAAAATGAGGGAGTGATGGCAGTTTAGAGATCATGTCCTGATTTTTCAGCTCACACTCTAGTTTTGAACATTCCACCATTCATTCCTATGGGACCAATTTCACCACAAAACGCCGATATTTCGTGAACCATTCGGCGAAACGTTCCACAAAGTAATAGCACACCAATCGGGAACAATCCGTTTTACACTGATAGGAAGAATCAATGAACTACCAGAGAGCTCAGAAGTGCCGTGGTAATTCATTAAGTGTTCTTGCATGGCAAGACCACTTACTGTTATCTCACATATATATTCTTATAGCCAAATTTACCAACCTAACTCCTCCCACAGTTTTTGCACTACATAGTAATATACCGAAACTTGCGGATTGTTCCCGATGATCCCGTTGTTCTTTAATGAGACATGCAGAGACCACTGTGCTTCTCTGAATGTAATACAGTGCAGATCGCACCACGTTACATTCTTTCCTGGGACACTGACAACGGGGGGGAACCAGAAGTGATGGATGTCATACACATCCTTTTTCGGTCAGGAACAAGAAGGGGAGGAGATTGGATGTGTGTTTGCTCTCTTCCCTCCCCTCTACCCACCGACACCCATTATGCTGGTCCTGGGCCCGCAGATGGACAAGCGGAGCCTGGGATATAGCAGGGGTGGGCACTTCACTGGTGTGTGTGTGGAAGCATTCGGGGGGCGGCAGTGGAGCGGCCTGAATGCTTCCACTTGACAAGCCCTGCTGCTTGCCTGCAGCAGGGCTAAATGTAGAAAGAGAACTACTTGCTTGGAAATGCATGTCCTGGGCATCGGGCCCAAATCTTAATTTCGTGTGATTTTTTAATATATATATATATATATATATATATATATATATAAATAAATAAAAGAGGGCAACATAAAACTAGTGCAATATTTGATACGGTGTTTGTTAAACACTTGCCTACCGGGCACTTTTACCCCCTTCATGCCCAGGCCAATTTTCAGCTTCCAGTGTTGTTGTATTTGAATGACAATTGTGCAGTCATGCAGCATTGTACCCACATTAAATTATTATTTTTTTTTCACACACAGAGCTTTATTTTGGTGGTATTTAATCACCACTGGGTGTTTTATTTTTTGCACTATAAACAAAAAAAGCAAAAAAATTTGAAAAACAAGAAGTTTTCTTTGTTTCTATTAAAAAAAGAAAATTTTTCAAACAGGTAATTTTTCTCCTTCACTTATGTGCGTTAATGAGGTTGCACTGATAGGTAGTACTGATAGGCAGCACGGATGAGGTGGTACAGAGAGGCAGCACTGATGGGCTGCACTGAGGAGGCAGCACTGGTGGGCATTGATAAGGAGACACTGATGATGCTGCACTGATATGCAGCAATGATGGGCACTGGCAGGCAGCACTTCTGGGCACTTATGGGTGGCACTGCTGGGCACTGATCATCAGTGCCCTGATGATCAGTGCAGTTGTCCTTTGTATCATTTTCCGGTTATCGGTAGTACTTTGATCACGCTTGGACAGCATGAGGAAAGTGCAGCCGGTAACCAGCAACTGTATTTACTCTGTGATCTGCTGCGTCATTGGACACAGCTGATCACATGGTAAAAAGCCGCTGTGAGTGGCCTTTTACCTCAGCATGTGACCACCTGTGTCCACAGGATACAGCGATCACTGAGCGTGCACCGCTGGGGGTGCGCAGGAGGGCGCGTTCTTGGAGGAAGTCATAAGACACCCTCTCAGAACTGGATAACTGCGCTGTAGCCGTCATTTGGCTATAGCATAGATGACAAGTGGTTAAACTAAGGCATCAATACCCGGTTCCATGGATGTAGTAGCAATTCTCAAGGTGCTCAACTGTTCTGCCAGATGACTCGGTGCCCGCTGTCGAGCTTGGTGACCTGGTACCCGCTGTTCTGCCAGATGGCTCGGTGCCCGCTGTCGTGCCAGATGACTCGATGCCCGCTGTCGAGCTTGGTGACCCGGAGCCCGCTGTTCTGCCAGTGACTCAGGGCCAGCTATTCTGCCAGATGACTCAGTGCCCGCTGTCATGCAAGATGACTCGGTGGCCGCTGTCGAGCTTGGCGACCCGGTGCCTGCTGTTCTGCCAGATGACTCGGGGCCCGCTATTCTGCCAGGTGACTCGGGGCCCGCTATTCTGCCAGGTGACTCGGGGCCCGCTATTCTGCCAGGTGACTCGGTGCCCGCTATTCTGCCAGGTGACTCGGGGCCCGCTATTCTGCCAGGTGACTCGGGGCCCGCTATTCTGCCAGGTGACTCGGGGCCCGCTATTCTGCCAGGTGACTCGGGGCCCGCTATTCTGCCAGGTGACTCGGGGCCCGCTATTCTGCCAGGTGACTCGGGGCCCGCTATTCTGCCAGGTGACTCGGGGCCCGCTATTCTGCCAGGTGACTCGGTGCCCGCTGTTGTGCCAGGTGACTCGGTGCCCCGCCTGATGGCCCGGTGCCCCGCCTGATGGCCCGCTGCCCCGCCTGATGGCCCGGTGCCCCGCCTGATGGCCCGGTGCCCCGCCTGATGGCCCGGTGCCCGCTGCTCCGCCTGATGGCCCGGTGCCCGCTGCTCCGCCTGATGGCCCGGTGCCCGCTGCTCCGCCTGATGGCCCGGTGCCCGCTGCTCCGCCTGATGGCCCGCTGCCCGCTGCTCCCGCCTGATGGCCCGCTGCCCGCTGCTCCGCCTGATGGCCCGCTGCCCGCTGCTCCGCCTGATGGCCCGCTGCTCCGCCTGATGGCCCGGTGCCCGCTGCCTCGGCAGTGGGATGTCCAGCCAGTTACCAGACCCAGGCGGTGGAACATTGGGGCCATTACTGACTGTTTTGAGCATCCTGAGGCTGCTCCTTGAAGGGAGGGGGGGTACTGTCAGGAATGGGCTCAGCACAGGTGGTGCTGGGGCTCACCTGCCTTGTGGGCTGCAGTACCAGTGCTGGCCAGCGGGTGCTCTCAGCAGACAGAATCTCACTCCTGCAATCGCCGAGGACCCAGCGAGCAGCCTAGATATTTGCTGGCCCTGCGGGTCAGATAAACGTCTTTGGTAGGCCGTAGTTTGAGGACCCCCTGTGTTAGTACAATGAAAGTTTAGTTAAATAAAGGAATTACAAAAAAAAAAAAAAAAGTAAGTTTACAATTTAGTTTTGGGCCGCATTCCATCTTGGCCCACAGGTTAGACACCCCTGAAAAAGTTTCCAAAACAGTTACATAACTAATCACCTGTGCAGCACCATTGCAACTGCAAACAAAATAGAGTCTAAGATGGCAGCATTAGTTTTTGCATTTTTATGCAATCCACCTCAAGTCAGCACTGTGGTGTGAACAGGACACAAAGAAAATAATCCTCTTTTATATGTGCCCTGACATTGGTCTGTACAGATCAATGCAGCTCAACTGAACCTGTGTGAACGAGCACTTTCTCATAAGGAAAATTAAGAGCAACCATACTTTAGGAATATATATATATATATATATATATATATGTATATATATATATATATATATATATATATATAAATATATATATATGATTTGCTTTGCCACAGAAAAAAACAAAAAAAAAAAAAAAAAGTTTAAAACAAGAAGATCATTTAGGAAAGTTTGTATAAAAGAGCTGCGCATTGACACTGGCAGAAGAAAACGAAGCATTAGGAGGTCTACCTGTTGTTTTAGGCTTCGTAATTAATGTTGAAAAACACACTATCCTACAGTCAGGAGTATTATTTCACATTGCTGAAGAGTTTGTTTTAACAAGAAAACCAAGTACATGACCTGCTCTTATAAAACCTCTGATCCAGACTGGCAGTACTACAGGGTGCAATCCCTTCACACAGTGATCCTCACAGCAAAATGGAACATTTAATATGCAAAGACTGAAACACGACAATGCATTTATGTTGGTCTTAAATGATGACCTGCTGCCATCTGCTGACTCGGTTCTTCATTTTGCTAGATTTCCTTTGCATACATTCTGACCATTACTATTTATCTAAATATACTTAGATGCGAAAAGTCCATACAAGAACATAAAATAAGATACACCAGTTGTTGCTTTACACAATATGTAAAACTCTGTACCCGAAGAATATAATAAAGACACATGGATGCAAAGTGCAGTGTTCATGAAATCTTCCCTGCATTGTCTAGGCCAGAGATGGCGAACCTATGGCACACGTGCCACAGCTGGCACGCAGAGCCCTCTGTGGGCACGCGAGCGGATCGCTACCTCCCGGCAGCCATCGCCAATGTGCATGCTCGGAACCGAGTCGTGGTTCATCCAGTGACGTCATTGACCCTGGCGCATGAGCGTTCCAGCCCTTTCTTCTGGATCCTTCACACACAGAGCCAGCTTCCAGACCCAGCAGAGCAGTATCACCTGCAGCACAGCGGTATCCATGAGGATTTCTTACCCGAGCACAGTGCGCCTTGTTGTTCCACAGGACATTGGACTATGACTATGCCTATATATGTCTACAAAAATTTAAGTTGCTCTCGCTCGGACTGGTATATAGCCATATTTTGAGAACATTTACACACGTCTTATATAGGTGGGGTTAGTAAATATTTTTTTTTAATTTTTGTGTTTTTTCCAGACTCAAAATGTTGATCATCAAAAAAAGCAAAACTGAAAACAGATAGTGGAAGATCATTCCAAGAGGCCTGTACAGAGTCATTTGGAGTGACTGAACACAGTGGGAAAGCATTATGTATTCTGTGCAGTGAAAGTGTTGTGTTTCGCATATCAAGTGTCAAGCTGCACTTTGACACCAACCACAAAAGCAATTGTGTTTTTTTTTGTTTTTTTGTTTTTCAAGACAAATTATGTTAATTAGTTTGGACAACTGTACTAGTTTTTTTTTTCTAAAGGAAAACCTCAGTATTAAGGTTTAATTGCAGTGTTGGCAATTTGAAATAAACACGTTTTGTGCTGCAGTTTGGGCATTCGGGCTCAAAAAGGTTCGCCATTACTAGTCTAGGCGGTGCCAGGCACTCCATGCACATTTATTTTCACTGCCCCCTATCTTTGCAGGCCCCCAGCAGTGTCTAACTTGGACTGAATAATAAGAATGGTATGTATTGACTTACAGGTTTTTAGCACCAACCCCAGCTGGTCCTGCATTGTATCCACACATTTTGGAAGAACAGGATCATTGGATTCAGATATGCTGTTTTTCACATTTTCAAGGACTCTCAGTTCTCTATATCCTCTCTTTTCCTAAGGAAAAAAAAAAGTGCCATTATGCAATTTACAACCTTCTTCTCAATCTTTTTGCATACTCACTTGCAACTAATACCAACAAAAATGTTTACTAATAAGATTATACATTTGTAATAGTAATTTGGATAACAGATACTGTTCTCTTAAAAACCTGACTGTACCATTCTAACCCTAGCTTCCTTTACTTTCTTTACCAAACCGAAGGACTATACAGTGGGGTAAAAAAGTATTTAGTCAGCCACCAATTGTGCAAGTTCTCCAACTTAAAAAAAGATGAGAGAGGCCTGTAATTGGCATCATAGGTAGACCTCAACTATGAGAGACAAAATGAGAAAAAAAATCCAGACAATCACATTGGCTGATTTGGAAAGAATTTATTTGCAAATTATGGTGGAAAATAAGTATTTGGTCACCTACAAACAAGCAAGATTTCTGGCTCTCACAGACCTGTACCTTCTTCTTTAAGAGGCTCCTCTGTCCTGCACTCATTACCTGTATCAATGGCACCTGTTTGAACTTGTTATCAGTATAAAAAGACACCTGTCCACAACCTCAAACAGTCACACTCAAAACTCCACTATGGTGAAGACCAAAGAGCTGTCGAAAGACACCAGAAACAAAATTGTAGACCTGCACCAGGCTGGGAAGACTGAATCTGTAATAGGCAAGCAGCTTGGTTTGAACAAATCAACGGTGGGAGCAATAATTAGAAAATGGAAGACATACAAGACCACTGATAATCTCCCTCGATCTGGGGCTCCACGCAAGATCTCACCCCGTGGGGTCAAAATGATCACAAGAACGGTGAGCAAAAATCCCAGGACCACATGGGGGGACCTAGTGAATGACCTGCAGAGAGCTGGGACCAACGTAACAAAGGCTACCATCAGTAACACACTATGCCGCCAGGGACTCAGATCCTGCAGTGCAGACGTGTCCCCCTGCTTAAGCCAGTACATGTCCGGGCCCATCTGAAGTTTGCTAGAGAGCATTTGGATGATCCAGAAGAGGATTGGGAGAATGTCATATGGTCAGATGAAACCAAAATAGAACGGTTTGGTAGAAATACAACTCGTCGTGTTTGGAGGAGAGAGAATGCTGAGTTGCATCCAAAGAACACCATACCTACTGTGAAGCATGGGGTGGTGGCAACATCATGCTTTGGGGCTGTTTCTCCGCAAAGGGACCAGGATGACTGATCCATGTACAGGACAGAATGAATGGGGCCATGTATCGTGAGATTTTGAATGCAAACCTCCTTCCATCAGTAAGGGCATTGAAAATGAAACATGGCTACTTCTTCCAACATGACAATGATCCCAAACATACCGCCCAGGCAACGAAGGAGTGGCTTCGTAAGAAGCATTTCAAGGTCCTGGAGCGGCCTAGCCAGTCTCCAGATCTCAACCCCATAGAAAACCTTTGGAGGGAGTTGAAAGTCTGTGTTGCCCAGCGACAGCCCCAAAACATCACTGCTCTAGAGGAGATCTGCATGGAGGAATGGGCCAACATACCAGCAACAGTGTGTGCCAACCTTGTGAAGACTTACAGGAAACGTTTGACCTCTGTCATTGCCAACAAAGGATATATAACAAAGTACTGAGATGAACTTTTGATATTGACCAAATACTTATTTTCCACCATAATTTGCAAATAAATTCTTTCCAAATCAGCCAATGTGATTGTCTGGATTTGTTTTCTCATTTTGTCTCTCAGAGTTGAGGTCTACCTATGATGCCAATTACAGGCCTCTCTCATCTTTTTAAGTGGGAGAACTTGCACAATTGGTGGCTGACTAAATACTTTTTTGCCCCACTGTATGTGCAGATAGTTAAGCAGACTTGCATGAAACCTGGCTTGTGTAAAGTACTACAGAAAATAACCCCTCTGCATCTCAATTACAATACAGCTGCACACAAGAACCAGCAGGCTAAAGAGAGTGGAAGCAGCGAAAGTCTGGCAGTAATACAAAGGAACAGGCGTTTGGAACTCAGGATCCTTACCTGTTTGTGACATAGTTGCAGCTGTGACTGCCAAAACCCTTACATGTATCCTAATGTACTTGAATCAGTTACAATTTTTAGAATATTTTATATATTGTACAGGAGGCCAGGGATAGGTCCTGGATGGGTGTTATGTGGCACCAATATTTGGATTACGGTCTCTTTAAGGGAAAAAAAAAAAAAAAACAGGTGTGTGTGTATTCAGGGGTCTTACCCGTCATGAGTGAGGTATTCTAGGGTAGCCATGTAGAGGAGAGGACTGACTCGAAGTTCTCTCTGTATTAGCAGAGATGTATTCGGGAACCTGGAATTTTGGAGGTTCGGAGTGGCATTCAGGTGGGGAAGAAAATCTCCACTTGTAACTATGGGGACTCCAGTCCCCAAAGTGTGAAGCAGCCTCCAGGATGCAGCACAAATACAGGAAGCACTGAATGTCAGGTGCGGAGAGCAGGAGTTTTTGAGCGAGACCTGTTGGAATGTTGACGTGTGCTGGGAGCTGCCAAACAGCAGGAGTTTGACTGGGCTAACCTTGGCGTAAATCCCATCTATGAACTTTATGTTTTCTGTATGCTGTTGTGCTGAAGATAAGCAGACTTTTGTGTTATATGAATTTTGTGCTGCTGCTTGGCTTGCATTTAAAGGTCAATAAATACTTTTATGTTTAAGTAAAACGGCTTTGCACATGGTCCTGAGGAGATATACCCCTGAATATCTACACACACACACGCGGAAATAAGTATTTGATCCCCTGCCAATTTCAAATGTTTGCCCACTCACAAAGAAATGATGTCTAAAAATCGAATGGTAGGTGTATTGTAACACTGACAGACAGACATGCATTTCTTTTGAATTTTTTGTTGCTATTCTGTCTGTCAGTGTTACAATACACCTACCATTCGATTTTTAGACTGATCATTTCTTTGTGAGTGGGCAAACATTTGAAATTAGCAGGGGATCAAATACTTATTTCCCCCATGAACATGCAAATCAGTGCATAATTTGTTAGACATGCATTTCTTTTGAATTTTTTGTTGCTATTCTAACAAAATTATGCACTGATTTGCATGTTCATGGGGGAAATAAGTATTTGATCCCCTATCATTCAGCAGGATATCTGGCTACCAGGTGTCTTTCGTACAGGTAACAAGCGGAGATTAGAAGCAGTCTCTTAAAGGGAGTGCTGCTGATCTCATTTTGTTACCTGTATAAAAGAGACCTGTCCACAGCAGCAATCAAACAATCAGATTCCAAACTCTCTATCATGGAAAAGACCAAAGAGTTGTCCAAGGATGTCAGGGACAAGATTGTAGACCTACACTGGCTGGACTGGGCTACCAAACTATCGCCAAGCAGCTTAGTGAGAAGGTGACAACAGTTGGTGCAATCATTCGCAAGTGGAAGAAACACAAAATAATTGTCAGTCTCCCTAGGTCTGGTGCACCATGCAAGATCTCACCTCGTGGAGTGTCAATGATCATGAGAACAGTGAGGAATCATGCCAAAACTACATGTGAGGATCTTTTCAATGATCTCCAGGCAGCTGGGACCACAGTCACCAAAAAAACAATTGGTAACACACTACGCCGACACGGATTGAAATCCTGCAGTTCCTGCAAGGTCCCTCTGCTCAAGAAATCACATGTCCAGGCCCGTCTGAAGTTTGCCACTGAACATCTGAATGATGCAGAGGAGGACTGGTTGAAAGTGTTGTGGTCAGATGAGACCAAAATCGAGCTCTTTGGCATCAACTCAACTCGCTGTGTTTGGAGGAGGAGGAATGCTGCCTATGACCCCAAGAACACCATCCCAACTGTCAAACATGGTGGTGGAAACATTCTGTTTTGGGGGTGTTTTTTCTGCTAAGGGGACAGGACAACTGCACTGCATCAAAGGGACGATGGACGGGCAATGTACAATCAAATCTTGTGTGAGAACCTTCTTCCTTCAGCCAGGGCTTTGAAAATGGGTCATGGATGGGTGTTCCACAATGACAATGACCCAAAACACACGACCAAAGCAACAAAGGAGTCGCTCAAGAAGAAGGTTCTGGAGTGGCCTAGCCAGTCTCCAGACTGTCATCCGATTGAAAATATGTGGAGGGAGCTGAAAGTTTGAGTTGCCAAACATCAGCCACCAAATCTTAATGACTTGGAGAGGATCTGCCAAGAGGAGTGGACCAAAATCCCTCCTGAGATGTGTGCAAACCTGGTGGCCAACTACAGGAAACGTTTGACCTCTGTGATTGCCAACAAGGGATTTGACACCAAGTACTAAGTAATGTTTTGTGAAGGGGATCAAACACTTATTTCCCTTATGTTAGACATTCATTTCTTTTGAATTTTTTGTTGCTGTTGTCTCTCAGTGTTACAATACACCTACCATTCGATTTTTAGACTGATCATTTCTTTGTGAGTGGGCAAACATTCAAAATCAGCAGGGGATCCCCTCTCTCTCTTTCTCTGTGTATGTATATATGTATATATATATATATACTGTATATATATATATATATATATATATATATATATATATATATATATATATATATATATATATATATATATATATATATTTTGGGAACAATGTGAGACAAAACTACAGTGACAGAATAAAAAACAAAAAAACCCCCAAAAATTACTAATTCTTGCTTAAGGTTCTCCCCCCAAATCATACTTACCTAGGTGCTGGTATTGATGCTGCATCTGTCCCCCCTTGCCAGCTCTAGGGTTGAGAACTCCACAATCAAACTCCACTGATCGCTCAGTTCTCCCTGATGCTCAGAGCAGATACTGGCGACTGTCAGTCACCGCTGTCTGCTCTGCTCCCCCAGCTCTCACTGGATCGCTGGGCTGTGGTGGGGGAGGGATCGGATTGCTAAGAGGATGAGCCAAATGCCTGTCCCGACATCTGGGTGGATCCAGACTTTAAAGTCGGGATCTTTCTTTAGCCTGGACCGGCTGAGTGACATCAGCCAACAACAGACTTTAGCCTACT